AATCAGGTATCGGTCTTCATCTTGACCTTTCCTCAGGCTCTTGAAAACTGCATTAAGAGCTAGCAATGCAGAGCCATGATTCTGTGGAGGCCGAGTTTGGCTTGAAAACGTTGTAAACCATTTTGGCCTGACGACTTGCGTCACAATGTCGCGCCATTCGTCTTTGTACTTGTATGTTTTTCAACAAGGAATATGATCGGAAATAGTCAGGGCCTTTGTTTGGACGTGGAGCTTGGGAGGTTTCTCCACGAACCAAACGAATAAGGTAAGGAAGGCCCATTTTCGATCGTCGAAGTAGCGCGCAGTACGCATACTGCTTGGCCCGGTCAATCTGGTATAACCTCGATCTGTTTTTCAAACCCCAAGCCGGCGCATCCGTTGGTGGAGCCACTCCATAGTGCTTCATGATCGAGGCGAGACCATCTCGCGCGCGGTGGCGCTGAGGGCCTAAACCTCTCTCACTTGCTAGGAGCGTCAGCGTGTAGCGGCGCTGTTGACCCGTCAGGAATATTTGAAGTTCCCCTGAAACGACAGTCCGCATCTCATGTCCACGCTCCTTTCTGCCGACGCCGTGGCAACGAGATTCATTAGACCCCTGAACCGACTTGCAATTACTTTGCAACGGTACAACATCTCGCACTTCGGGGATTAAATCCTCCTTGGGCCAACCGACCGACCTGCAATTCTTATGCAGCGGCAAAACAACGCCCAAAGCGTGACCCTGAGTCACGTTAAGGCCCTCGACATGGATGCATTTTGCTATGTGGCATCAAGCCATCCGTGTCTGTGCTTTCCTTTGACCTCACTGCATAGGTATTTGGCAGTTTGTCCTGCGCTAATCTGCGGCTCCCTGTCCTTGTATCGCCCGAGCCGGACTTGACTATTGATGGAGGCTGCTCAGTCGATCTGAGGATGGTTGCTGTCCGGCTTACCTCATGTCTCCTTCACACCTCCGCTTGACTGCCTGTCGCTGGTGCACTCGTGTCCCGAAGCACACCCCCCCCCCTCGTAGGTCTGACTAATGAAGATTTTACCAGTAACTGGTAATTTAGCAGGTACGAAGTGTCCTCGGTAGTCGAACACCCAAGTGTCTCCTTCACCAGGGCATCTTTCGATAGACAAAACCTTTTTTCATGCACAACTTCTTGCCTTTACGAATCAGAAGCGCTGCCACCACCTTCGGGGGAACGGGAACTCCGTGCCCTTGTCGGGCACCGCGGATTGTTGTGCGCGCTTTGGCCTTCTTCATGCGAGACGATGGTTTTCTGGAGGCTGACAACTTTAGAGCTGCTTCCACCTTGAGGCTGGTGACACGTTGAACCACTCGTGCGTAGGACTCGTGATTGAGCTGGAAGTGGGTTCGTATACTCTGTGCGGCTGCCATATTTCATTGAGCCAAGTGTGATCGAAAGGTGTCAAAACGCTCATCAATCAAGCCACTAATTCCGGGACTGCTTCAGTCCCCTGCATAGTTTTTGTTTTACGCAGAGTCAGCAGAAAACGTCCGGCCGCGTCGACCAAATCTGCTACAACTTGTGTGTACATCTCATTCACCAACAGGGACAGCACTTCCAGCGCCGCTACAACGTCGGCGAGATCTTTTGGCTCTTGTGGCTCGGGAGTATTGTTTTTCGCCGAGAAATCTGTCATATCGTAACTCTTAAGATTGTCACGCTCCACTTTCACATCCATTGGTGCAAAATGTCGAATAGAAAGCCCACGAAATCCAAAGTCCGCAAAGAATCCTCGCGCAACGGCCGGGTGTGGCAAATAATCAAAGTCCTTGGCCCGCGACTGCATTATTTCTACAAACAGCTGATCATCCAAGCATGAATACGTACCATTTACTATTGCACCGTGTACAGCTCTTTGTTGCCGGCCTGGTCTGAACTGTGATTTGGAATCGCTCGCTGCTGCGCTCACCAGTGACGTTGAGCTTCCTTTACTGAGGTTTACCTGGCGAAACGCGATCAGCTGATCGATTTCTTGGACCATCTCCGCATCATCACCGAGTCTCTGCCGCGAAGAGTGGTGATTCGCATCTGGCCTCTGTGGGCAGTTGTGGGGATTTCTCGCGGTTCTGTTTGGGACGATAACCAACTGGATGTTCTTCCTGAAGAGGTTCAGGTGTGTCAGTGTCATCTTCTGAGTCGTATAACTGTTCTAGCCTCTCACCATCGGTCAGACTACAGTCTTGCGTACTCGAACCACCCGTGTTGGCCTTTGAGGCGGCCGAGCCAAAGAGGAAGCCCGGTACAACGAGTCCTTGTACTGGTCGCCGCTTGTCTTCATGATAGTATACACAGTTTAGAATGTGTTCTATCTTTAGAATTTCGACCTGGGAGTCTCGATGTTGTAGACTGGCACCATTTGACTCTCATCCACAGGGTTCATCAAA